AATAGTTAAAAAAAAAAAAAAAAGAACTAGAGTGGAGAAGGAAGGCTGTCAGATCACACTCCGGCTGGACTCTCTTCTTTTACATTCATACACATATAACTTGGTCCTGCTACACAATGAGGTGGATTCATGCCATCCGCAACAGCAAATCGGAAAGCAAACTCCTATATATGGTGAAATGCATCCATAATAATTAAAGTGGCTCTAGGAAGCAAATGAATCTGTTATGTTATCACCAGCAAGAATAGCTTAACAACATCACTAATCAGAGAGATGCAAATTAAAACCACAATGAGGTAGCGCCTCACACTTGTCAGAATGGCTATCATCAATAACTCAACAAACAAGCGTTGGCGAGGCTGTGGAGAAAAGGGACCACTTGTGCACTGTTAGTGGGAATGAAGACTGGTGCAGCCACTGTGGAAAACAGATTGGAGTTACCTCAAAAAATTAAAAATGAAACTGTCTTATGACTCATTCTGGGAATATATCTGAAGAAACCCAAAACACGAATCCAAAAGAATATATGCACCTCTACGTTCATAGCTGTGTTATTTACAACAGCCAAGATCTGGAAACAGCCCGAATGCCCATCAGTAGATGAGTGGATTAAAAAGCACTGGTACAGCCCTGGTCAATTTGCTCAGTGGTTGGAGCATCAATGTGCGGACCAGAGAGTCCTGGGTTCAGTTTCCGCTTGGGGCACGTACCAAAGAAAAAAAAAGCACTGGTACATTTATACAACAGAATACTACTCAGCCATAGAAAAAAAGAAATCTTACCTTTTGCAACCATATGGATGAACCTGGACAGTATTATGCTAAGTGAAATAAATCAGTCAGAGAAAGACAAATATTATATGAATTCACTTATATGTGGAATCTAATAAACTAACAAAATAGAAGTGGACTCAGAGATACATAAAACAGAGTGACCGCTGTCAGATGGGTGGGGGGTTGGGAGGTTGAGTGAAAAAGGTAAAGGGATTAAGGCAAAAAAAAGAAAAGAAAAGAAAAGAAACACAGACATAGACAACAATATGGTGATTGCCAGAGGGAACGGGTGGGGGAATTGGGGAGGGGGTGGAAGAGGGCAAAGGGGAGATAAATGGTGGCAGAGCGTTGACTTTGGGTGCTGAGTGTATGATGCAGCGTGCAGATGATGTTGTGCACTTGGAACCTGTATGGTTTTATTAACAAATGTCACCTCAATAAATTTAATTTTAAAAAAGAAAATTTTAAAAATCTGTTATTCTAATGTATAACATCAACCAATGTTCTAATATTAAATATTTTTTATTTTTATTTTTTAAATATGTTTTTATTGATTTTTTAGAGAGAAAGGAAGGGAGAAAGAGATAGAAATATCAATGTGAGAGAGAAACATCGATCAGCTGCCTCCTGCACACCTTCTACTGGAGATAGAGCCTGCAACCTGGGCATGTGCCCTGATTGAGAATCGAACCGAGACCTCTCAGTCCATGGGACAACATTCAATCTACTGAGCCACACTGGCCATATTATTAAATCTTTTTTTAAATTAACAGAAAAAAATTAAATTTGGCTTAAAAACAATAAACAAACAAACCCTAATTTTCTAATGTGATGGATGTTCACCAACTTTCAAGTGACTCTTGGTGCTGAGTATTTCCTGTTTACCTCTCTGGATCCACTCCCAACCCTGTGCTTGCCTCAGGGGGCTGATGTGTGGACTAGAGCAATGGGCTTCCTTCGGCATACTGCCTCTATTGTGGTTTCTGGAAGCTCTCCCCACATATTGGCAAATCATTCATTCATTAAACTCTCCTCCAAGTTGAGTGTACATTTTTTGTCCATTTAACACAATCACTTCATTCAATTTCCTGAAGTTATATTTTGAAGCAAAGCAATTCCACTAGAATTTATTCTATTTGAAATCAATTGCTCTGCAGTTGTAGTATTTATTTGGCTTCGTCTGCCTTTGACATTTCTTCAATAAATAATCCCTCCTAAATTGTATCCTACAGAGCTCTAGGGTCTCAGTTGAGAAGTTTTCTAAATGTTTCCATAGATGCAAAATTCTTTTTCAAGAGACATTTAGCCCTACAAAGAGGAGGGATAACTTCTTTTTGGGTGGGAACAACAGTGAGACTTCTGTATTTTTGCAAGACAATATCAATAGCCTTGACTGTAAAGTATGACATAAAAAGCATTTGAATCTCTTTAATTAGCAAGTACTCCAGGGGCTAGCTAAAGAATTTAACTTTGAATGACTTTGATCTGAAGGTATTTAATTTCATTGTTTTCTACAACTATAGTGGACATCTTTGTACACATCTCCTTGCACACATATGCACTAGGCAAGTAGTGAGGAAAACACTAAGGTACTATGTTTCATTTTTTTCACCTGCATGTTCTGATCTGCTTGTGAATTGTAAAATCACTTTCGTGTTCTCACCAGTATTCTTTTCATTTTAAAATAAAATAGAATAAAAAAGACATTGTAATGCATATAGTAAGGACATTATTTTACAAATTTTTGGATAAACACACACACACACACACACGGACATGTATGTAGGTTTGTGTACTGTGTTTTAATGTAAAACATTTTGTTTGTTAAGCCTCACCCTAGAGAGAGTGAAAGGGAGGGAGAGAGAGAGAGAGAGAGAAAGATCAATGTGAGAGAGACACAGCTATAGGTTACCTCTCACGTGACCCCAACCAGGGCCAGGGATTGAACCTGCAACCCAGGTACGTGCCCTTGACTGGGAATTGAACTCGTGACCCTTCGGTCCATGGGCTGATGCTCCAACCACTGAGCCACACTGGCCAGGACTAAAACATTTTTCTTACAATGGGTTACAGTCAAAATATCTAAAAACTGATCCATGACACATGGAAGCAGATTTTCTGTATCACAGAATATGCACATTTTCAACTGACTGCTATTGATAGTTTGTTGAACATATTTATGCTTCTATCAGGAACACATTCTGTTCTTTCTACCCACAAATTTTGATTTTATGATTTCCCACCCAATCTTATGGATTTTAAATCTTTGTTTCAATGCACATTTCTCTGATCCTCTGGCAAGGCTGACATTTTCATCTGTGAATTGCCTAACAATATTTTTTTGTAAATTTTCCTATTACTTTTCTTTCTGATTTGTACTGATTCTTGATATATTCTAGATATTAATCCTTGTCTCTTACAGAAGTTGCAAATACTTTTTCCTAATCTATTACTTTTATTTTAACTTTGTGGTGTGGTTAGTCATACAGAGGAACTTTTAAATCTAGATATAGTCAATCTATCAATCTTTTTTAAAAAATGATTTGTGATTTTTACTTCTTGTCTGAGAAATCCATCTATCCACAAGGCCATAAAAATATTCTCCTGTATCACTTTTAAATGGTTTTAAACTTTTGCATTTTTTCATTTAGGCCTTCAACTCATTTGGCATTTATTTTTGTTATGGTGAGAAGAACTTAATTTTATATTCTATGATATGGAAACCCAATTGTTCCACATCAATAATTGAATCGTTAGCTTTTTCCCACTGATCTGTCATACCATCTTTAATGGTTTTAAAGCTTAATCTTGTTCTGGGGTCTCTATTATGTTCTATTGATGACTCGTCTATTGGTGCACCAATACTATAGCTTCAGAAGTTTTAACATATGGGAATTCAAATCCCTTTAGCTTATTCTTATTTTCAGAATTTTCTTTACTCTTTTCTTATTTTTATATTTCCATATGAACACTAGAATTATTTTGTTAGGTTCTATGTTGAAATCTCATTCTAGTGATGTTCTATCTTGTTCTTTGTCTACCTAACTCTTGTTAAGGTTTTGATCCATATTGCCCCCGACTGTCAATATCTCTGCTGAAACTGCCTCACAAAGCCGAATGCCCCCACCCCTGCGGACCCCAGCAGACGGAAGCCCACACCTCACACGGACGGCCCCACCTCACTCCCACCTCCCAGGTTCCGTCCGCATCTCGTGGAAACGAAACTGCACCCAGAAGCCTAGTTGCAAAGGACTTTGAAAAACGTGCACTTTAGCTTTAAACCTCTGCAGTACAGAGTAGTGAAGAGTGGATTTCAAACCACGGGCTACATCCTATCAGTGGGTCATAAAATCAATTTAGTGGGTCACAAATGACATTTTAAAAAATGAAATAGAACAGAATATAAAATGTCAGTATGCCTAGCAAAAATAAGAATTTTTCATGAAAGTTTTATAAATACACACACACACGTAAATATATTTTAACATACAACCATGTACCACATAACTGTGTTTCAATCAACGACAGTGATCCCATAAGAGTATAATGGAGCTGAAACATTTCTGTCACCAAGTGACATCATAGCTGTCATTAATAGAGAGGAATGTTCAGTGGGCATTCTTTGCTTACAAGCAAATCTATAATGAAAAACAGAAACAAACCAAGCAAAGCACCATGGACGTATTTCTGGGAAGGACGACACCTGCTCACGAAGAGCCTCAGACGGGCCTTTCAGGAGGTGTTCCCAAGGAAGGCGTTGTTGTCACAGGAGAGCCAGGTCAGGTCTGTCCCCACCCCGAAGACCTTCCAGCGGGACAAGATGTGGCGGTGGAAGACAGTGATGTTGGTGCTCCCGACCCTGGGTAGGCCTAGGCTAACTATGCCACCTATACATTAAAAGCCTTCTAATAATTTACTGAACACAAATAGGCACGTTCTCCACAATCCACTATTCTTTAACAGTTAATATCAAAAGAAAAATCTGTTTTTATAAAAAGCAGTGGAATGAAAAAACAGCCAAGACCATCTAGAAACAAACAAGATATAGTGACATTGTGACGTGAGCAGCCGACAGTCAGCCTCCCCTTGTTAAGCAACATGCATCCTAACTGTGTATCCCTCCCGCCCTCCCTCCACCCCATAGCTGGGAAAAGAGATACCCAGGGGCAGAACTAATGGAGCCCTCCTTCATGTGCCAGGGGCAGAGGGACCTCAGTGCCGCACCGGAGTAGATTCCTACTTGGTCTTCGAGTGGAAGAAAGCCACAGCCCTGGTTGTCTCTGGGTGTTGGGTTTATGCACGATAAATATTTTAAATTCTAGTTTCCAAATTTTCTACAATGGGATGTATTACTCTTACAATGCAAAAAAGGGAGCTCCAAACAACCCCAAATCACATTTTAGTTTATTGTCTTATTTTTAATGCCCCAACCATCGGAGAGCTTCTACGCATCCTTGTAAGTTCTTCCTCCTTTCCTGGTGGTGGACACGGTCTTCATTTCCAGAGAAACACAGGCAGGATCCGAGTTTGGGGTTTGTGTCAGATCTGCTGGGCTTTACAAGAGACACTGGGAGGAGTTCCACAGCTCCCTGGTGGCTAGAAGCAGTGATTCCGACTCGCCCTGTGTTCTGGGCAGAGCAGGGAGCTATGACAAGTAGTGGAGACGGCCCGTACTTACGAAGAGCACAATACATCATCAAGGGCATAAAGAACATAAAAATGCTTTAGCAGATACAAATGCACAGACTGATACAGTGCAAACTAAGAGGTCAACGTGGAAGAAGACAGGAGAGTAGCAGAGCAGTGGGGGCTTTGCCTCCAGGTAGCCACGATGACACTGCCTCTTCACCTCTCATGCGGTTTCTTTTTCTCTAGGAGACTGGGAGAAATGGAAATTCTGAAAGCACACTTTCCTGGTTGGAAAAGGACACACAGCAATGCTGTCCAAGCCTGACTCCAGGTTAATGTTCCGGTTTGAGGTAACATTCCAGTTTCACGGGAAACAGATCTTTCCAGCACACGATTGTAGGAAACTCAGTATGATTTTGATTTACTTGAAAGTTGGTAGTACTTAAGGAAAAACCAACATTGCCTATGAAATCACTATGCCTTCCATTTGACTGAACAGGTAGGGACGGACCTCGGACTAGAAGGGTTCATGTTTTAAATGTTGCCCAAGTCCCTCATTGCACAACTCTAGACAAGGTAAATTTAAAAATTATGGAAGATCATTTTTTCTTTCTTACTAAAAATGACACCTTCTCTCCCACAAGTCCAACATCCAAGTGCTCAACATGTCACTTTTCAGCTGCCCTCCACCTTTGTGAAACCTCATCATTCACTGGGTGTGACTTTAAAGTTACTTCTGGTACCAGCATCTGGGATGGAATTTTCCTAGAGATGCACGCAAGTGGGAACGGAACACATTTCACAATGTGAGTGCCGAAGGGGGCTGACGAGTCGCAGGCACACCTCTGGCTGGGAAAGTGGCTCTGGGACAGCTGGCTTCCCGGGAGAGGTCTGTGGGACCAAAGGCACGCGGAGCTCAGGCCAACAGGAGGCTGCGCACGGGATCGCATCCGGGTGGAGCGGGAGGGCTGAGGCCACACAAATGCAGCGCTTTTCCTCGCTCAGCCCGGCACACCGCGTGGCGCCTGGTGGGGGGACGCGGACAAGGGGAGAGGCCAAATATGATAGAAGGGTGAGTCTGAAGGACCTAACCATTCGATCTTGAGGAAATTTATCTTATCCCACCAAAATGGTGAGAAAAAATGTTTACATATCTACCTTTAGGTCCTGATGAAGGAAAAGCAACCAGATGAAACTTCGAGAAAGAAATCTGCTTGTTACTCCGGCATGTGGATTCGCGCTGTCTCGCCAGAGGTCGTGATGCTGCACTAAATCGGATTTCTGGACAAAGTAACATGGATTTCCTTAATGCAGCGATGGCCTCGCTCATGAAACCTCTTCTCCAGCTCTGTGCCTGACAAGTCCGCCCAGAAGCTGAGCTCCTTCTCCGATGGTCAAGCCCTTCTTCCCGCAGCTCTGTGATCCCCTGGCAGAGCCGGCCTTAGCCAGAGGCACCGAAGGTCACCTTCTGCTTCAGAGGAGGAAGCTGGGGCTCCTCACTTGATCATCTGAGTCTCTTCATCCGCATCATAAAATTCTTCCTCTTCGCTCCCACTCCCTAAAGCACTCTCCTTGTCCACCGACTGAAACAGGAAAGGAGAAACGGGCTGAGAGTGTGTCAGGACATTTCTGGACTGAAAATCACTATCTAGGTTCTAACTAACACATGTATGTCTATGACACCAATTCCCCTAAGAACTAGCCTCTGAGGTATTCTACGAAAGCGAATCCATCAGTCATCTTTGTTTCTCTGAAAACCAGCTGCTACTAGACTCCGCCTTTGTTTTCCGGCAGTTCTGCTCAGATCTGTTCAATCTAACCAGACACACTTTTCCCCTTTAAAACTCCCATCATCCGAGAGGTAATTCTGAAGGATTAAGACAAACAGCCATACCTGTGGAATGTCCAAGGTCTGTAAGGACAGAGCTTCCTCCCCCAGCCTCCGGTATGAATACACCTGGAGGTCAGAAACCGTCTCTAGCAAAGGGGTGTTAAGGGTTTCTGGCAGTAATAAACTCAGAAGGCCCGAGGCCAGGCCCGTGGCTCCGAACACAATGAAAGGTAAAGACCACTGCACATATTTCTGTGGGGGCACAGAGTGGAATGAAAACAAAAACACAGTGTTAGTGTCCTTGGAGATGACATCAGCAGTCAGGACACAGGCCCGCCCCGTTCACGTTCCCGGCCCAGTCATGCCTGCCTGCTAGAACGCACTATAAACCAGTTTCCCCGGAGACAATGGCCAGGGCCTCGGTGCCCCTCGGGCACACAGACGCGGGAGCGGGCAAACACACAGCGGTGGGGTCAGAGCAGCACTGTGCTCTGCCAGCGGAGCCTACTATGGGAGGGGCAGGCCAGCCCCACGCGCAGCGTTCCCGAGGGCCCTGGTGCCCAGCTGCCAGTCCAGGTGGACAGCTTAGGACACAGTGATCTCCATGTACTCTTCGCTTGGGAGACACCCCAAATATTTGCTGATGACAAACTTTAATGTTCTCAACCCTGGAATCAGCCAAACAATGCCATCAACACTCGCGGATTCACTCAGCACCGTAACTGAGGGGCACAGGGCTGGAGGTGTCCACAGCCGGAGAGGAGAGGAGAGGCGGGAGCACCCTGTGGTACACGCCGTGGACACTGCCCGAACTGAACACGGGGGAGGGTCAGAGATATGCTCGGGAGAGTTTCGTGTCTTCACACACAAACCACACGGGAAACAGTCCCGTGGGATGCTGCCCGGGGCCTCTCTGGGCTGGTCCCCGTCTTTCACTCCTGCCCGGGAGCTGCTCAGCTCCGTCTCTGGTTTGGGCTTCCACATTCTGAGGGTAGGTCCACTGCCGGTGAAGATGGCCCTCGGGTTAGAGTTTGCTAACTTTGCAAAAATAAAGAGGCGGTGGAGAAGGAGGAGGAGGAGAGGGGCATGGAGGGATGGAGAGGGCCGGGGACAGGAGCAGGGAGCAGGGGAATCTCTGACCCCTGGACCCCATGGGCGGTGAACGCAGACCCAGCACCACAGGTGTGCTGCTGAATCAAAGGGAGCACAGCACGCTCACCTCTTCTCAGCTCAGCAGGAGTCAGCAGAGACACAGGCTGAGTTTTGCCTGCTTTGGGGTAGGCAGCCAAAGGGGGTATCTTTAACAATAAACCCCAAATGTCAGACACAGAATGGAACTAATATGACTCCTTCGAAAGAAGGATCTTGTAACCGAAAATTAGGCATGAGGCATGGAGAGAGATACTCAGAACAAAGAAGTCTATCAAAACCCAAAAAAAGGAGAAGCTACCGCGGCCTTTCAGAGACACCTGTCCTAGGAAGTAGTGAGTAATGAACAGCGGAGTACAAACAGGTTTGCAGGCACCATGCCAAATCTGCCCCCGCCCGCCCCGCCCCACCGTGAGTCCTGGCTGGGAAAGTGGCAGGCACAGGGCTCCATGCGCTCTGCCACCACACCTGAGCATGTCCTGGCAGGAAGGACTTTCGGGCTGTCATTTAAGTCTAACCCCTTTGTTTGGACTATAAAATTTAGAAAATGGCAAAAGGTATTAATAAGCATATTGCTAGGCATATTTCTCTTCTGACTTTCTTTCCCAAGTGGTGTGCCTTTGGGGAAGGTATTTAACCTCCTTCTGCTGCATCCCCATCTTTGGTACAGCGTCACAACAATGCCCACCACAATGGTCACCTTGGAGACTGCATGAGGTGACACACGTAGAGAGCTTAGCACAGAGCCCAGCACACAGCCAACGCTCAGTAAACATTCACTAGTTGACTAACCTGTGAATGGGGTCAAGAAGGGCCAAGCTGGCATTAGCTGATGTCCAAAGAACACAGATGAACAGAGAAATGAGCCTGGGGGTTGCAAACCTCCTTGGTAGGAGTCATCCTCCCTGACAGATCCTTAATGTAAAAGGCACATGTCTACACGTGTGTCACCTGATCTTAAATGGCAGCTGTCCATCACCTCTTTCTACTCAAAAGCACAAGCATTCCCAAAGCAGAGGATCAAGAAAAACCAAGCGAGGAGGAACAAACCAACCAGTGAGGGGATGAAGGGAGCAATAATCCCACCAACTCGGGAGAACATGGAACACGTTCCAAGCCCAACATTCCTGAAAGACAAGAAAAAGCTTTTTTAAAATCAGTAAGTCCTAGGGGCACAATGTAAAGACCCTGGGGGGCAGCAGGCCCAGAGTAACACATCCCACAGTACGAGCAAAGGATCCCACAGAGCAGTGCTGCCCACTGAACCCTGTGATACTGCCCATGTCCTGTCCATGCACCGTCCAGCGCGGGAGCCACCAGACACATGCCGCTACTGAGCGCTCAGATGGGACTAAGGATGAGGAACTGAAAGTTTAACTTATTTCATTTAAATTAATTTAAGTGTCAAAAGCCACCCGAGGCGGCTAACCACCACACTGGGCAGTGCAGCTCTGGAGGCTGCTGCAGAAACGAGCATGTGACCATTCCTTGTCCAACATTCTCACGGGTGTGGGGTCTTAGGTCTCCTATCAGGTAATACAGCCATAGAGAGCCAGAGCTTTATGATATAAAAAGTCTGCCCACTTAGTTCAACTCAACTAATTAACTATTAAAGCGGCAGGCACACAAATAGGAGCTGATGAGCACGTGTTTCTCCGGACCGCAGGCCGACGCTCTAACCGCTGAGCCAAACTGGCCAGGGCGATGAGCACGTGTTCTCAGGAAACCAGGACATTACCTCCCGGAGGAGCATGCGTGTGGAGGCGGCGGGAGGAAGGAGAATGTTGATCATGGTCATAGGTAGGTGACCATACATCGCCCTGTAATTCCAGACTAATTGTTAACAACATTCCTCTCACATGTGTCCCAGTTGGGAAGGAATGGTCATCCTACTTTATAGCCAGTAGCCAGAGAAAGTAAGGTCAATGAGGAAATGACTAGCCACAGACAATCTGATCTCTTAATCCAAAAGGGCAGCCAAAAACAGGCTCCCTGCATGGATAAGGGAAACAGGAGGATCGCTTTGGAATGAGCCACACAAAATGGGAACGTGCTGATGGAAAAGTTCTGGCCCAGCTCACAGAGGCAGTTCTGTGAAGACTGAGCTACATCCCAGCCCTTCAAATCTGCTCATTTTTTTGTTTTCAGACCTATTTTATGAGGGGAAACAGGGACCTCTCAGTCCATGGGACAATGATCAATCCCCTGAGCCAAACTGGCTGGGCTAGAATATGTTTTTATTAAAAATAAGCATGTCCTACTCATTAAATCTACCTTTAACAGCTAATATGTAAATCTATAATTTATTTACTACTCTATGGAATTATCGTCTTTGAAATGTGTATATTTTATGTTATTAACCAATGTTACCCCAATATATTTAATTTTAAAAATATGCATATTTTGTGCTCAAATGCAGGCTCTGTGAGAACAGGGTCTTTGTCCCCTTGTCAGTCACGTGCCTGACACAGGATGGGTGACTATTAATAGATGAAGTCCACCAGAACAAGATGACATCTTGGCACTACTACTCAGTGACAGGACTTGTTTACAGCAGGTCCCTCTCTCATGATTCACATGAGGGAATTCAGCTCAAGATGAAGCTATGATTCCTTAGCTGAGGAGCAAAGACGGTCCACACAGACAGTCTCTGAGCTCACCGCTGCTTGCTGAACTGCTGCTGGCCCACACTACCTCTGCTGGCCTGCACTACCTCTGCTGGCCCGCACTACCTCTGCTGGCCCACACTACCTCTGCTCACCCGCACTACCTCTGCTGGCCCGCACTACCTCTGCTGGCCGGCACTACCTCTGCTGGCCAACACTACCTCTGCTCGCCCGCACTACCTTTGCTCTCCCGCACTACCCCTGCTCGCCCGCACTACCCCTGCTCGCCCGCACTACCCCTGCTCGCCCGCACTACCTCTGCTCGCCCGCACTACCTCTGCTGGCCGACACTACCTCTGTTCGCCCACCTACCTCTGCTGGCCCGCACTACCTCTGCTGGCCGGCACTACCTCTGCTGGCCGGCACTACCTCTGCTGGCCAACACTACCTTTGCTCGCCGCACTACCCCTGCTCGCCCGCACTACCCCTGCTCGCCCGCACTACCCCTGTTGGCCCGCACTACCCCTGCTCGCCCGCACTACCTCTGCTCGCCCGCACTACCTCTGCTGGCCGACACTACCTCTGCTCGCCCACCTACCTCTGCTGGCCCGCACTACCTCTGCTCGCCCGCACAACCTCTGCTGGCCTGCAATACCTCTGCTGGCCCGCACTACCTCTGCTGTCCCGCACTACCCCTGCTTGCCCGCACTACCCCTGCTCGCCCACACTACCCCTGCTGGCCCGCACTACCCCTGCTCGCCCGCACTACCTCTGCTGGCCGACACTACCTCTGTTCGCCCACCTACCTCTGCTGGCCCGCACTACCTCTGCTGGCCGGCACTACCTCTGCTGGCCAACACTACCTTTGCTCGCCCGCACTACCTTTGCTCTCCCACACTACCCCTGCTCACCCGCACTACCCCTGCTGGCCCGCACTACCCCTGCTCGCCCACACTACCTCTGCTCACCCGCACTACCTCTGCTGGCCGGCACTACCTCTGTTCGCCCACCTACCTCTGCTGGCCCGCACTACCTCTGCTGGCCCGCACTACCTCTGCTGGCCGGCACTACCTCTGCTGGCCAACACTACCTTTGCTCGCCCGCACTACCTTTGCTCTCCCACACTACCCCTGCTCACCCGCACTACCCCTGCTGGCCCGCACTACCCCTGCTCGCCCGCACTACCCCTGCTCGCCCGCACTACCTCTGCTGGCCGGCACTACCTCTGTTCGCCCACCTACCTCTGCTGGCCCGCACTACCTCTGCTGGCCCGCACTACCTCTGCTGGCCGGCACTACCTCTGCTGGCCAACACTACCTTTGCTCGCCCGCACTACCTTTGCTCTCCCACACTACCCCTGCTCACCCGCACTACCCCTGCTGGCCCGCACTACCCCTGCTGGCCCGCACTACCTCTGCTCGCCCGCACTACCTCTGCTGGCCCGCACTACCTCTGCTCGCCCGCACTACCTCTGCTGGCCCGCACTACCTCTGCTCACCGCACTACCTCTGCTCGCCTGCACTACCTCTGCTGGTCTGCACTACCTCTGCTCCGGCACAGTGAGCACCGACTTCTGGGATGCGAGCCTCTTCGCCACAAGGCAGGATGTGTGAGGAGAAGGTGATGGTGTGGGAGGCATACCTGATGACCGTAGGGTACAGCTCAGAGGTGTAGATATACACAATGTTAAAGGCAGCACTGATGGCCAGCTTCCCCAGCAGAGACAAGGAACGGCTGTTCACCACTGCAAACACACCTGTATCTGCGGAGCACAAGGGAACATCCGTGAGGCCCTTGGTGGAACAAAGCTTTTGTAAGTGACACTTTTAGCTCTGAAGGAGTGAGAGGCATTAGTGCTGGTCTCAGACAGCAAGGAGGGAATGTACCACTCGGAGGTCCAATGATCACTCAACACTTATGCACACATTTCCTTAGCTTGGCTATTCCCAGGATATCGCACATGGGGGAGGTCATTCCGTGTGACCAAAGCTGCACTCCCTCCTGGATGACAGAGCTCCCTGAAAACTAACGTACTGTAGTAGAGTCAGCCTCAGGGGAATTCCAAGTTTCATGAACCACAGGGGTTAACTGCGACTCCTGTCTTGCCAGCCTTGGTCAACAATCAACCGTGTAAAGTGGTGGCCAGCATGACAAGCCCTGGCCCGTGCCAGGAGTTCATATGAAAGACAAGAGAGGCAGAGGTGAGGGCCAGAAAAACTCCTGTATTCCATTTGCTATCCTTGGTGTTCCGTTGCAAATATAAGGGATAATCCCATTAAATTACTACCAGAAGACATGAAACATCAATGCTCATGAAAGAACGAGACTTCAATATGGAACCACTTTCAATCCTTGCTTCTCCCCAACTCATTTCAATGACTAATCAATGATATTGGAGTTTCTGAACACAACGCCTTTACATAACACACAAAACTGCATTTTATGTGAGTTCGCGTCCCTATCGAAAATATAATTAATGATCCTGTGGTTCTTTCCTTTATTAACATTACCCCCTCAGGGATCTTACATCTTAATTGTTCCTTTTCAAACATATTTACCCTCTCCCCTTCAATCACCCACCAGCTTCTACCTTCAAAATAACAATTTTCTCCCGAGGAAAGTAAAGTCTCATGGACTCTGTTGTACTTCCCTCCTATCAAGCATCTCCAGTGAGTGACCAGCCCTCCGTTTCCTCAGATGCAGCTGCCCCGTCCCTCCCCACAATCTGGCTCCCAATGCCGTCCTCTCCTGAAACTCCTACTCTTGAAGGTCAACAGCGATGTCGTAATCGCCCAAGTAACTGCCTCACATGCTCCTTGACATTTCCACCAAATAGACTGCGCCATCCCCTTCCTTGGGACTGCAAGCCTGGCTCATAAAAACCACTCTTCCCGTAAATAATTCAAATATGCAATATCCTCTCCTTCCTTTGGCCTTCACTGCCCCTATTCACCCATCCACTCAACTGGCTGCAGACGCTCTCGGGGATGCCTGCTTTCCACCGCCTGCCCCAGCGTTCCGAGCCAGCTCAGGCGGAGGCAGGCGTCTCGCCTGCACCGGGCCCCGCAGCCTCCCCCACAGTGAGACGCACAGTGGTGCTCACTAAATATTTGTTGAACAAAGCTTTATTTTTATTTTTATTTTATTTTTTATCCTCACCCGAGGACATTTTTGCATTTATCTTCAGATAGAATGAGAGGAAGAGAGGGAGGACGAAAGAGAGAAACATCAATGTGAGAGAGACACATCGAGTGGCTGCCACCCACGTGACCCCAACCAGGGCTGGGAACAAACTGCAACCGAGGTACGTGCCCTTAGTGGGAACCGAACCCCGGTCTCTCTGGTCCATGGGCCGACACTCTAACTGCTGAGCCAAACCGGCCAGGGCTATAAAGATTTGATATTTTATTTTATTTTATTTTATTTTATTTTAGTTTCTTTTATTTTATTTTATTTTATTTGATTTTCTTTTATTTTATTTTATTTTATTTTATTTATTTTATGTTATTTATTTTATTTTATTTATTTATTTATTTTATTTATTTTTATTTATTTTATTTTATTTTATTTTATTTTATTTATTTTATTTATTTCTATTTATTTTATTTTATTTTATTTTATTTATTTTATTTTATTTTATTTTTATTTTATTTTATTTATTTTATTTATTTTATTGTTATTTTATTTTATTTATTTTATTTTATTTTATTTTATTTTATTTTTATTTATTTTATTTTATTTATTTTATTTTATTTTATTTATTTTATTTTATTTTATTTTATTTTATTTTATTTTATTTTATTTTATTTTTTATCCTCACCCGAGGACATTTTTCCATTTTTTGTTCAGGTAGAGTAGGAGGGGGAGAGAGGAACAGAGAGAGAGAGAAACATCGACGTGAAGGGACACATCGAGTGGCTGCCACCCGCACGACTGACCAGAGCCGGGGACAAACTGCAACCGAGGTACATGCCCTTAGCGGGAACCGAACCCGGGTCTCTCGGGACCGCAGGCAGACGCTCTAACTGCTGAGCCAAACCGGCCAGGGCTATAAAGCTTTATTTTAAATAAACCTTATACTGCAGAGGTTATTTCTTCTCTTGTAAATGTTTCCTTTAGTGGCCCTTAAAAGGAAGTTCCCTTTGTAGCTCAGTATTTAACAGAATGTAGCAGATACTTTTAGCTGGCACATGAAAGAAAATGTACATCTTACTGCAGAGAAAATCTCTCATGCTCCAAAATTTATAATTTTTTATTTAAATTTTTAAAGAAATATATTTTATATATTGTTTAAATAGCATTTGCTGACAATTGAGTGCAGTTCTTAAAAACATTACTTTTCGTGTCCTATTTAACCCTTATGACAGGATGAATTCAGGGAATAGAACCTGTTCGTGCCCCCTCAGCTTCTGAGGAGGAGGCATGTACTACACTCCATCCCACAATATGTTTCCGCCTCGCTGCTTGACAACGAAATAAATCTTCATCTGCTTGAAAGATGGCGTCCTGAGCACACTGGCCCAGGCACTGCCAAACTCGACCATCTGGGGCCTCTCCTCTCCTGCCAGGCTATTTGGAAGAAGATGTTTGCAATTTTAAGTACCTAATATATTACTTTAAGCCACGAAGTGCTTCTGGAAAAAGATTCCTGCCTTGTAGCATTTACCCCAAGATATGTATCTGGACTCCTAATATCTGACAACTTCAATTAAACCAATGATGAGGGCAAATTAAATCCATTAATTATCTTCAGAAAACTGAGTAAGGAAAAGGTATTGTGTGGCATTAAAGCAAAACAGAAATGTGCACATTTGCTTGATTGCAAATGACCTCTGGGTCTGTTTTAACCTATAAAAGATGGCATCTTTCAGAACTGTATGGAGACACTACATCTTTAACAACAGGTTAGGCGGCTGACATACTGAAAATTGAATTCAAATGGCGCGTCACAGAAAGTTTATAATCTGAACACCCAGGAGATCCAAGTCTGGAAGAAGTCCCCCACGTGAGGCTCCGGACACCCAGCTGTGGCCCATCTGGGGAGCCTGGCTCAGCCACATGCCCACCTCACCTGAGGCTTGAAAACTTCTTTCTGTTTTCCTGCCAATGGAGTCTGCAGTTGCCACTTCAACCTGGGGGAATGCACTTTGTCCCAAGGTAGCCCATGCTAATTTCAGACATCTCTGTTTATTAGAAAAGTATTTCTTATTCCTTTTGGGGCTCCTGCCTGTGGCACTGCTGGGTTCCCTGGATTCCTGACCTTGGTTCTTTATCTAAAAATGAAATCAAAGCCTGGCCGGTGTGATTCAGTGGTTGAGCATAGACCCGTGCAACAAGAGGTCGCCAGTTCGATTCCTGGTCAGGACACATGCCCAGGTTGTGGGGTATGCAGGAGGCGCCAATCGATGTTCTCTCTCATCGATGTTTCGATGTTTCCATCTCTCCCTACTTCTCTTCCCTTCCTCTCTCTCTAAAATCAATAAAGAAAAAAATTTTTTAAATGAAATCAGATATTATTGGCTATTACCAACAATTGAACAACAAGATTGTTTAGAAACAAGAGTGATTTAAAAGGGGAAAGTTAATTATCTCAGAAAAAAAGCAGGGAAGAAGATTCTCAAAATACTTGTCTCCTTCAAAGCACTGAACTCGAGGTTCAACTTTCTTCCAATGATGCAGCTACATTTTCAGAACCAGTTATCTGAAAGTTTCCTCAGAGCCTATTTGGAGTCACCAGAACAAAATGTGTCAGTATGTTATAGTCACATTTCACTGACCCAAAATAGTAAATATTCAACTTATCATCCACTTCACTCACTGGGTGATTATAGCAAATGTGTTGCTGTTTGTGCATACGTATAACACCTCTCAGACCGCTGTAGGCCTCTGCTCTGGTACACAGGTTGGGCACTGAACCACAGCTCGTTCTGTTTCCCTTTGGCTTTTATATTTTAAGAAAAATACCAAAAAAGCACAAGAGTCTGTCACTAGAGTTTTGCCATTTCTAGAATATCATCTGAATGAAATAATTGTGTATAGACTTTCGTCTGGCTTCTTTTAATTAGCATAATGCTCCTGAAATTTATCCCTTGTTGTATATATCAGGTTGTAGTTGATTCCTTTTTTTTTTTTCAATGTGTAATATTTCATTGTATGGATATACCACAATTTGTTAATCTAATTCTTTAGGGGATGGACATTTGGGTTCCTTTCTGTTTGGGGTTATTATTATTATTTTTATTATTATTATTTTAATCCTCATCCAAGGATATGTCTTTTTTTATATATTGACTTTAGAGAGAGAGGAAAGGTAGAGGAAAGAGAGAAAGAAACATCGATGAGAGAGACTGGCCTCCCTGACCAGGGATCAAACTCACAACCTAGTTATGTGCCCTGACCAGGAATTAAAACTGCAACATTCTCAATGTATGAGATGACGCTCCACTCACTGAGTCACCTGGCCAGCCAGGGCAAGGAGCTATTATTAATAAAGCTACTAAGAACATTTATTTCAAAGTCTGTGTGGATCTACGTTTCTGCTTCTCTTGGGAAAAGTTGACTCATATGGTGTGTGTTTCACTTCAAAATAAGTTGCTGACATAGAGCGTCAGTACCATTCTGCATTTCTATCAGCAGTTTACAAGAGTTCCAGTTCCTCCTGTCCTCATTGCCAACATTTGGTATGGTCAGTCTTTTTTCTTTTAGCCATTCTAATAAGTGTGTAGTGGTATATCCATGTGGTTTTAATTTCCAATTTTCTTA